CTTTATTAATGTTGGATGTTACTGTATTGTGTTAAACTCATTATTATTGTGAGTTTGCAAATGGCATCAGCATCCAAACCCACATTTCCCAAGAAAGTTCAGGAAAATCTACCTGCTGAAGATGATGGGAATTGTAGTTCAGCATACCCAGAGGGTTTGGCCAGTAGCCATGATGGCTAGAGATGATAGGAGGTGTAGTTTAGGTACATATTTTTGCTAATGTTCTTCTCAAAGAAAGCAGCAGGTTATTTTTAGCAATTTTCTTCCTGCTATGAGAAAAATATTCAAAAACTGCAGTTTTTGAAAGCTGTTTGCACTTTGGAACTTACTTGGCATCCATTTTTTAAATGTGGTATTTTTACACAGAAAACAGATGTTTTCTGATGCTGGGTAAGAAATTTTGTGCATTTTTCAGTGATTTTTCACACATCAGGTCTTTTTTTGCTGAAGATTTCTTCATGCAAAAAGCTTTGCTTTAGGAGTAAAAAACCCCACAGCTTTTTTGTTTTGCATAAAACCTTTTTGCAGTTATTATTATTATTTTGCAAAAACATCCCATAGCACGAAAAATCAAATCTCACGGCAGTTCACCATTTCCTCAGTGGGGCATTTTAATGGTCTTAAGATACCCTTTAAAAATAATAATAATAATATAATACCTTCCCAAGGATGTGCTCTGACTTGGGAAAAAATTTTCTTAAGCCAATTTTGCCAACTTAAACACTATTTCAAAGTTGCCATTCAAAGGACATAACAATACCGCAAAATCTGTGCGCACATCACCACCTTTCTTGTCAGCTTCCATAGAAAAATCTCTGAGAATTTCTTTGACTCAAACTCCTTCGTCCCTGCCCTATTCTGTCCTCTATCTTTGTGCCAAAGCGTATGTAGAAGAAAGCTGCTTCATAAACATCACGCCTATAATTTTAAGCCACGGGCAAATAGAAGTCAAAGGAAGCTGTCTTAAATCTGTAATCCCCAAAGCCCCTTGCTGAGAGCAGAACCTGATTCAAGTGCTGTGAAGCAGTTTGCTCAAGAGATTGGCCTTTCAGATCTGAACAGCAAGACGCTTAGAAATATTGTGTGATATGACCCTTCCTGATGAGGAATCCCATGGACAGCCAAAAGGACAAACAAATGGGTCCTAGAGCAGATCAAGCCAGAGATATCCCTAGAAGCCAAGATGACAAGACTTAGGAGCATTGCAGACTGGCGTAAAGGGCTGGCCTGGGGCTGGAGTTGGGGTGGGGCAGTCGCACGCTGGCCGCCCCAACCCTACCCTGACGCTGTCCGGATGCCATGCATCCATTTGCAAGGTGCACGGCATCAGGATGCACCTTGTAGACACATTGTGCCGAAAGAGTGCAGAAGAGCCACGGCGCCAGCTCTTACGGTGGCTTTTTGCTGCCCCTAAAAGCAGTGGCATTTTGCCGCTCTTTTAGGGGTGGCAAAAGGAAGGATCGGAGCTGCGGTGTGGGGTTGCTGTGGCCCCAACCTGCCGCTAGCAGGGGCAGCCCAGAGCCGCCCATCTGCATAGCCCCTTAGACTGTCATACCTTGGACACATCGCGAGAAGGCAGGACTCGTTGGAAAAGACAATAATGTTAGGAAAGATGGAGGGAAGTAGAAAGAGAGGAAGGCCACTTGCTAGATGGATGGACTTTATTAAAGAGACCATGAATATGAGTTCACAGGAGCTGAGCAGAGTAGTAGAGGACAGGGAGGCCTGGAGATGTCTCATCCATAGGGTTGCCATGGGTCGAGATCAATGCGAAGGCAGTTAACAACAACAAATGACTGTCATGAACCAAGGTTCTCTGTTTTATTCCAAAGAGAAATTTAGCCACCCTTCCTGAGACTGTCTCCCTTTAAAATATGGGGTGGCAGAAAGTTTCTTAATGCCCATTTAAAGCTAGTAGGTCAAGGAGAAAGGTTGGAATCATAGAGTCGGAACAGACCCCCAAGGGTCATCCATTCCAACCCCATTCTGCCATGTACTCCTGACAGATGGTCATCCAACCTCTGTTTAAAAACCTCCAAAAAAAGGAGACTTCACCACTCTCTGAGGCAGGGTATTCCAGGTTATATAGCCCAATTTGATTTCCTGACTTGCGACTTTCTAAATGTCAGGATGTTTCTCTTATGTGCATTTAAGCATATGTGTTTAAGCACATATACAGTGAGCCTTCCATATTCACTTGAGTTAGGGGTGCAGGACCCCTGTGAAAGTGGAAAAATTGCATTTTTTTAAATTAAAAAAACACTTTTTAATTTTAACCTGAGAAATAATGTATAATCATGTCAGGGAGGGTTTTATAGGAGGTGTGTGTTTTCGTTATGTTTTCAACTTTTGTATGTTTATAAATGTTATGCTGTTTCTTAGCTAGTTGGGTTTAATTGTCTTTTAAATTTTTATTGTAAAGTATTTAAATAGCTTCATTTGTGAGCCCACAGAAAGAATAGTTAGGGAGAAACCGACAATAAAACGAACTATATTGCTACAATGTCCCAAAGGAATGAAACCACAACTCTGCCATATGTACAATGACCATATATTTATATGTAAGTAACCATATTGCAGTAATACTACAAAATGAAAATACAGAATACAAAGTGATGTAGAGAACTATACATCCCAAACTGTGTCCACTGTGCTTCCTCTGGTCATAACAACCTCAGTTCCAATATAATGATTTCTACAAGCAGTAGATAGCAAAATGATTTCCACAGTTTTCTGGTTTTTATTTGTGAGCCACCTTAGGTCCCTTTCTGGGAAAAAGACGGCATAGAAATGAAAAGAAATGAAATAAATAACTATAACTCCTCTCCAAAAATCTCTAAGTGCTCCAGCATGACTTTTGCACGGATGTTGGCCATCAATGCTGGAGGACCTAGAGATTCCTAGAGTGAACATAAGAAACAAATCTGTGAATAATCAAATCTGCAAAAGCCAAAGCCTCAAATGTGGAAGAAAGACTGTACTAGGAGGGTTTAATAAGGATGGAACATGAACTTTGAGCCTAGGATCAGAGAGAGCTCATGCCTTTTTAATGGTCACCAAAGGATTTGATGGGCCACTGGGTCTGACCCAGTGTATATTCACAGTGGAGAGAAATAACCTAATTCAAGCTGGTTATTTATTAATTTATTAAAGGACCTTCACAAGTTCAACCCAGACAATGAAGAAACAGAAATAGTAAAAAGAATTCCCATACTTGGGATCAAACAAATGGGGACTGAAGCCAGGATTCTGGAGACCAGGGTTCGATTCCCAACTTGGCCATGGAACCCACTGGGTGACCTTGGACAAGTCACACACTCTCAGCCTCAAGGGAAGGCAATGGCAACCCCCCTCTGAACAACTCTTGCCAAGAAAACCCCAAGATAGGTTCACCTTAAGGTCGCCATAAGTTGGAAATGTAGTTTAAAAGCCAACCTTTTCAAGCGAGAAGCCAGGAATCCAACCGAGAATGGTCTACATGCCAAGGAAATGTTCTACCATGAAGCTGTGCTTTCTGCACCAATGTGTTCCTTTTGTGGACTACAGTTCCCAGACTCCCCAAGGGAGCATGCTTAGAGGATTCTGGGAGTCAATTCAAAAAAGAAGACACACCTGAGCTTTAGTCCTGCCCCCCCCCC